AAAGGAAACATACAAAAAATCGCAGAGACGGAATCGCAGATACTTAAATTGTAGTTTCATTACCAGCTCACTAATGTGTGCAAACACTCTCTTGCAGATTCCAGTGGATTTGTTTTAATTTTATTTCCATTTCGTGGCCTGGCGAAGCGTGAGCAACGCCAGCACACCGGCATTTAAGATTCGGGGCCAACAGCAATTCCATCCGCATCCGCAGGTCGAGATGCCGACCATCCGGCGGTGCTGCATCATCGGATGTCTGTCCAATTCGCGCCAGCACCCTAGTATGCAGTTCTTTGCGTTCCCCCGCCCGGAGAACCCCTTCCACAAGCTGTGGAAAGAGGCGTGCCACGCCTCGCTAAGGCGTATAGTGCCCTTCAAGAAGCCGGTGGTGTGTGCCCTGCACTTTGACCCCAGTGTCCTGGGAGGCAGGAGGCTGCAGTCGAATGCGCTGCCCACCCTGCGCCTGGAGGTTCCCTCCAACCTGGAGGCCGTGGAGCAGCAGGCCATGGTGGAGGAGATCGAGAGGAGCCGAAAGTGCGCCTACATCAATGCAGTGGTATATGAATGGCTGGTGAGGGCCAATATCAATCCCCAGCTGCGAGGCAGCATAACCCACGGAATGATCAAGGACAAGGCGGAGAATGCCCGCCAAGTCGTAGGGAGCACATCCTTTATAGCGGACAATCGCTGGTTGAACCGTTTCCGGGAGACTCATCTTCAAGGCTTCGCCCAAAAACTGGCCAGCAATCAATTGAAGCCCCTTGGCTCCTCCCTGTGGATCCCGGACATCGTACAGGACCTAGCCCACCTCTTTCCGCCCGCCAGCGCTGAAAGGGTGGCCAAATTGGAGGAGATGCCCGAGCAGTACATGTCCTACATGCAGCAGTACGGAGAATACGAAGAGGATGATGACAGTATGGATGTAAAGGAGCAGAGCTATCAGGAGCAACAGCAGCAGCAGCAACAGCAGCACTTTGCCCTCCAGCAGCAACATATGCAACAGCAGCATCAAATGGGCCACCCATGGCCACCGTTTCCAGGACATCCCGGACATCCTACGCCGCATCCTGGCTTCGCCAGCTTCAACGACTTCTATTTCGAGCGGCATCAGCAGCAGATGCAACAGCAACTCCAGCAGCAGCAGCAGCAGATGCAACAGTTCCCACCCACTATGCCACCTCAAAGGGAGCCCTTTCAGCCCCAATTGCCGCCAAATGTTCCTCCGCAGCGGGCTAGTCCCTTTCAGCCTGTTCAGTTGGCCAAGAGACCCAAAATGGAGTCACCCGATGACGATGAAGTGCAGGAGATCAACTCTTCGGTGACCTCACCACAACATCAGCTAGCAGAATCCACTTTAAGCAGCAAGCACAGTCGAAGTTCCAGTCCCAACGAGCAGAACAACAATAATAGCGGGGGAAGGGACAGTGCCAGCAGCAAGGAGAACGCCCCCAAGGGAGGCGGAGCAAGTGGCAAATCCACGCCCGCCCTCTCCACCAAGGGAAAGGACTCACCTGCACCAGTTCGAGCTGCGTCCACCAAACCCGCCTCTGCTCCCGCCTCGCCGAACAAGATTCCCAATGGATCTAGCTCCTCTGGCAGTCAAACCAATGGGCACACATCCCCAGACCCCGAGGATAAGAAGGCTTTGTCCATGCTGAAGGAGTTGGATAGCTACCACCAGGCTTTGGAGTACCTAAAACCGCTGGAGGACTTTGTGCTCTTCAAGGAGAATTTTCGAGCTATTGGCTTGCTCTCCCAGTTGGAACTGGTGCTCCGGAAAGGGGACAAGGCCACACTGGTCGAGGGTTAAGAGTTTTCTTCATCCCGAATCGTTAAGGCGCAAAACACAAATGTGATGAACAGTGTACATATGTATCATGTAGTATTATTGAATCGTACTACAGCCAAAACCGTTGGTTAGGTTAACAAAGAATCTCCACTCGCATAAAGCTGAACCTAATTAATTAATTTATTAATTACTCTAAGTACAATAAATGGAATTTATAAAGTAATAAATATGTTTTTCTACGTTGTTTTATTTACTTCTTTAATACGGAAGATGGCTATTGATTACCAATTCCACAATTTTTAAATCAGACTTAACAATATCTAAGACCTTCAGATAAAAAAAACGTAATACTAAAAATCGGCAGTTAAACTACATGAGTATGGCAACGCTGCTTCGAAATCAAGTTGACCAGAACCCACCAATATTTATGGATTGCTATTCTCCTCACGACTTGGTCACACTTGATCAATGTTTACTTCTTTTCTCCGAAAAATCTGCAAATTTCGCGAACTAAAACGAAGCAAATACCCATAAGCAACTAAAGAAGGAAGAATACAAACCGCACAAATGTCGCTTCTGGAGCAATACGAACAGCAATATGCCTCGTTAATCGCAGAAATCACGGCCCATATTGGACGTCTGCAGCAGCAAAACAACAATAGTGAGTGTGATGGTTGTCCATGGATTGTAATCATAATGGTGATTACCATTTGCCAATTTACTCCAGGCGAGCGCCATGATTTGTGCAGCAAGATCGACTCCAGTTTGCCCGAGGCCCAGGAATTATTGGAGCAGATGGGTCTGGAGGTGAGGGAGCTGAATCCTGGACAGCGGAGCAGCTTCAATGGAAAGCTGCAGGTGGCCCAGGCGGAACTGAAACGCCTGCAGGCGGAGTACAGAATGACCAAGGACAAACAGCGCTCCCAAGCCAACACATTCACCACTCTGGACTTGGGTGACAGCTATGACGATGTGTCCATAAGCACAGATCAACGGCAACGCCTCTTGGACAACTCGGAGAGGATTGAACGGACGGGCAACAGGTTAACTGAAGGATACAGAGTGGCTGTGGAGACGGAGCAACTGGGCGCCCAGGTCCTAAATGATCTGCATCACCAAAGGGAAACTCTACAGGGAGCCAGGGCACGACTTCGAGAAACCAACGCCGAGCTGGGCCGAGCTTCCCGCACCCTGAATACCATGATGCTGAGAGCCCTGCGGGAGAAGGTGGTCTTGTATGGAGTGGGTGTCTGCTTTGTGGTAGCCGTGGGCGTCAGTCTCTACTTGACTTTCGCACCGAGTTCCAGCAGCTCCGTCTCCTCGTAGTTATTTTAGCTAGCAAACCAAAAACCAATGATCTTAGCCCAAATTCAAATGGTGTAGAAGCCTGTCCATTCCAATTTCGAGAGTTGATTATTTATTGTTTAGCATATGTTACTTTTACGAGATATTCAGTGCAAGAAAGCTGCAAATTACGCACTAATCTATATACGATAGGATGGGGTAATTGAATAAGAGTCCAGGCTCAGAATAGTTATCTGCGGTTGAGTAAGGAGTTATCAATGCCTATATATGTTGTTGTCATTTTACCTTTAAGATTATTTTAACCATTTTGTTAAACGATAGAATTCGTATTACTTTTTAATTCTTTGTTATTATACCCGAGATCTTACCACAGATTACTAGCCTATCCCACGAATGAACCCCATCCTTGTTTGCGTGTACAAAGTTTAAATGGTTAATGTTTGGCGTCTGGTTAATAGAAACTAATCCTACTCTATGACTCGTGTTCGCATTCGGGACGTATTTTTCGTAAAAATTCGAAATGAACATGTATCTAAAAATCATAACATAGCCGAGAGCTGTCAATAAATAAAGGAAAAGTAAACATGCATCTCTGCATGAGCCATTGAGCCCGGTGGGGTTGAGGGTCCCTAGCCGAACTCAATGTTTCCCAACTGCTAGCAGCCGCAGGAGGAGGCGTCCTCCTCGTTGGTCGCTGCACCGCTGCTCGCAGTGTCCACCTGGAAGCTCTTGTGCTCCAAGGCCTGCAGTTCCATCTTGGAGCGATTGGCATGCACCAGTTGCCTTGAGATGTCCCGGAACATCTCCTCCACACCAGCGCCGCTGCGACAGGAGGTCTTGTATGTTGCACTAATCAGTGAGTGGCACTGCTCGCAAAAGGCCTCCACTTCCTCGTCGCTGACCTCCGGCTCCCTGCCCTCCAGATCGCTCTTATTGCCGCAGATGAAGATCTTAGCGTTTTCTGCATAGGTCACAATGTCCAGCAAGTGCTGCGACAGCGAGTGGAACGAGGCGGCGTTGTCCAAGGCGAAGACCAGGATGGCTCCCTCGGCGAACTTGTAGTATGAGGATGTGACCGAGGCCACGCGCTCCATGCCACCGGTGTCCCATAGTTGGAGCTGTGAAGGCAGGTGGTACATAAGTGTCTGACAATACAATATGTTGTATTCTTGAACTGCATTTGTATTCAACATTTATTTAAGAAGTTGAATGATGCTCTTCCATGGGTAATCAACCCACCGAACCCACCTTGATCTGCTTTTCATTCACACTGTATTCCCTGTCGATGTGGTCCAATCCCAACGTGGATTTCCTGTCCGTATCCGTGACAAAGGTGTTGGTGGCAAAGCGCCGGAACAGGGAGCTCTTGCCCACTCCGTAGTCGCCGCACAGGATCACCTTCTGTTTGGGTATGCGCATCGTGGCCATGGCTGTGGTTGCTCGATTAATCCCAAATTAATCCAATTAGATTATATTGCACCTGCAGACACAAAGGCGACAACAAAAGTGCAACAACAGCTGTTTATGCAAAAACAATCAGCTTCGCAGCGTTGCCAGCTCTTTGGACTTCATCGATGGCCGATAATTCGAATTCTGTCATCGAATTCAAATGGTCTTATCAGTTGCGATCTATGTTCGGATTTCGTTTATGTGAAACAATTCCACCCAATTATAATATATTGCTAATCAGTCTGGAAAGACATAAAAGACATAATGGCAAATACAATTTCTCTTTATTCCGCTAGTTTTCTGTGGATACTGCAAATATTCGTATTTCAACTTTCTGTTGTGGTTTTAACAATAGTTGTACTGACATAAGAAACATACTTTTATAAATATAAAACAAAGAAAACAGATCGATAGAAGCTATAATATATTATTATTATATATTATTATAGCCGTTAAATAAGCCCGTGAGCTTCACTCCCAGTTGAAAATGTCGATTTGGCTGGTAGCATTCCTGGCGTTCTTCGCCGCCTTGGCGCATGGTAAGATTCGTAAATCAAGCGATATCTCTGAAAGGAAAGTGGAAATAGTTTTCTGTGGATACTGCAAATATTCGTATTTCAACTTTCTGTTATGGATTTAACAATAGTTGTACTTACGTAAGAAACAGACTCTTTTATAGAAGCTATCATTTTTGAAAAACTATTATCTGGTGTCAATTTCTGCTGATAGTGCTCTGTAGCCGTTAAATAAGCCCGTGAGCTTCAGTATCACTCCCAGTTGAAAATGTCGATCTGGCTGTTAGCATTCCTGGCGTTGTTCGCCGCCTCGGCGCATGGTAAGATTCGTAAATCAAGCGATATCTCTGAAAGGAAAAATTGCAATCTTTAAACGAACAAATGCCAAATCGTAGGCAAACCCGGATACGGTCCCGGTGAGCAGGACTGGGGCTACGTGGACGTGCGTCCCGGTGCTCACATGTTCTACTGGCTGTACTACACCACCGCCAATGTTTCGAGCTATACCGAGAGACCTCTGGCCATTTGGCTACAAGGAGGTCCTGGTGCCTCCTCGACGGGATATGGAAACTTCGAAGAACTCGGACCCGTCGATTTGTACGGCGATTGGCGCAGCTGGACCTGGGTGAAGGACATGAATGTCCTGTTCATTGACAACCCAGTAGGCAGTGGCTTTAGCTACGTGGACAACACGGCCTTCTACACGGCCACCAATAAGGAAATCGCTCTGGACTTGGTTGAGCTTATGAAGGGTTTTTATACCCTGCATCCGGAGTTCGAGGAGGTGCCGCTGCACATCTTCTGCGAGAGTTACGGTGGAAAGATGGCTCCAGAGTTTGCCCTCGAACTGTACTACGCCAAGGAGCGTGGTGAAATCAAGAGCAACCTGACCTCGGTTGCCTTGGGGGATCCATGGACCTCGCCCATCGACTCCGTGCTCGCATGGGGTCCTTTTCTCAGGGAAATGGGAATCGTGGACCACGAGGGATACAATGCCATTCAGGAGGCGGCGAACCTCACAGCTCAGTTGGTGGATGAGGAGCGATGGATTCAGTCCACCTATCAGTGGGGCAACACCCAGTGGGAGGTGATGAAAGCCTCCAAAGGCGTAGACTTCTACAACGTGCTGAAGGAGACCAAGGGTGGTCTCTACCAGAGAGCGAAGGCCTTGACCTCCGAAGGTGACCCAAACACTCCGATATTAAACGAAATTTTTCAAACCCTGATATTTCCCTGCAGAACGTCTGTATCGCACCATGGTGAAATACGATATTGACGAGGATCGAAACAAGTTACTGGAGGATTTGATGCGGGGCCCGGTGGCGGAAACCCTGGGAATACCCTCGAATGTCGTCTGGGGAGCGCAGAGTGGGACCACCTTTGACATCCACAGAACCGACTTCATGAAGCCAGTCATCCACATTGGTAGGGATACTATTTCTTATATCACGAAAACGTCTGACTTCTATTGAATGACAGTGAACGAATTGCTGGAGAATACTCCTCTGAAGGTCGGCGTATTCTCCGGTGGCCTGGATTTGATTTGCGCCACTCCGGGCACCGTGAACTGGATCGCCAAGCTGGACTGGAGCCGAAAGGACGAGTACCTGGCTGCTCCACGCAACGCCATCACCGTGGACCGCATCCTGGAGGGCTACCAAAAGACGGGCGGCAACTTCTCCATGTTCTGGATCAACCGAAGTGGTCACATGGCTCCGGCGGACAACCCAGCGGCTATGAGTCATGTGCTTCGGGAGTTTACGTCATTTGGGTAGATTCATTTAAATGGATTATAATAAACTATGCAAGCCAGTTGTATACTATATTCGTCTGAAAATAGAGCAGTGTTTTACTCAAAGAAGCTGGGGATCTTATCATATTACATAGTTATTTGATAAATGTATGAAATTTGAGATTGTCTGAGTCTGGCCTTTCAAAATCATCTATAAGGTCTTTACATAAAAATCCACAGAAATGTTAAATATATGATTTTTTGAGCACCTGAAATGCTAAAATGCATAGCCCTTTACTCAATATCAAAGTATGTCGATGATATAAGAGCTTTTAGCAGACACTTTAGTTATCTTTCACGCATGTCACGTAGGATAAACTGCAACTGAAAGCAAAAAATAATAGGAAAAGCCCTCGGAAAACCCACTCAAGATAGCGAAGTCCATCTTTGCGATGATTTTGGGGCTTCTGAGGCTTTATCTAAATATATGACATAAAGATTCGCAAAATCGGACGAGTGTCAAGCACAGACTAACCAAAAAGCCGCGTCACCCTCCAGAGAAGGGCCATAAATACTCTGCAAACACAACTCCCCCGCCCGCAGATTGAGAATTCCAGGTGTGTCAGGTGCTGTGGCTATTTTACCTTCAATGAGTGGGAGCAACCAGCGATCAATTGGCGGTGGAACTGCCAAGTGTGCGGTTGTGTCTCGATCGGTGTCTCTTGGAATCGGAGCTGAAACTGGTGCACCATGACTGGACGGGCTATCATCGCTCTTTTGGCCCTACTGGGAATTGCCGGCTTGGGTTCTGTTGACGGTGAGAAGCGTGATTTGTATTCCAATTAGGGGTGCTAATCAGTTAGAAAGTGTTCCAATGCAAACGGCTCTTTACGACTTGGTGAACAGGTCAACAGAACTATCAACAGAACTATAAAATGTTTCGTTTTGGGACACCCCTTAATTACCACTGTAAAAAGACCGCCATTCGATTTGATTCCCATGAGATGCAAGTGCTTTTATAAGGCAATACAATCAACTATCTACAATCAACTATCTACAATATCTTTAACAATTAATCTTATCTAAGTGGCTACTTGGGCAGCCGTACTTAAAGGCTAGATTACTCAAGTATTCCAAAGAAATCAGGGGCTGTCATCCAAGTCCGTTTATGCGTTCATAAATTCCAAAGTCAAAGTCAATAATAAATAACTATTTAAGCAAATGGTAAATAAAAAGTGCTGCATAGTGAAAACAGGTTAAAACCGAGAGTGAAAGAATCGAAAATGTATATAATACTTAAATTTTTTGCCAGCTCGCAAGGGCTACGGATCCGGTGAGCAGGATTGGGGATTTGTGGATGTCAGGACTGGCGCCCACATGTTCTACTGGTTGTACTACACCACCGCCAATGTCTCTAGTTACACGGAGCGTCCCCTTGCCATTTGGCTCCAAGGAGGTCCAGGTGCCTCCTCGACGGGATACGGAAACTTTGAGGAGTTGGGTCCTCTGAAGCTCGACGGCAGCTACCGCGACTGGACTTGGGTCAAGGACATGAACGTGATGTTCATCGACAATCCCGTGGGCAGTGGCTTCAGTTACGTGGACGGATCCTCTTACTACACGACCACCAACAAGCAGATCGCTCTGGATCTCGTGGAGCTGATGAAGGGCTTTTACACGAACCACCCGGAGTTTAAGACCGTGCCGCTGCACATCTTCTGCGAAAGTTACGGCGGAAAAATGGCCCCAGAGTTCGCCTTGGAACTGGAGTACGCCATCCAGCGAGGAGAGATCGAGAGCAACTTTGTTTCGGTGGCCTTGGGAGATCCCTGGACCTCCCCCATCGACTCTGTGCTCTCGTGGGCACCCTTCCTGCTGCAGTTGGGAATCGTGGATCAGGATGGCCACGACAAGATCGAAGCTTCGGCCCTGAAGACTAAGGACTATGTAGAGCGCGAGAGGTGGACACAGGCCACTCTGCAGTGGAGCTCCACCCAGTCGGTGGTGCTGCGCGAGTCCAAGGGAGTGGACTTCTATAATGTGGAGACTCCCACGCTGGGTGATCAGTACAGGTTGATATCCCGAGCTGCCATGACTCCGGAGGGTAAGATCCGTCGAGTAACTTATCGAGCTGATTCTCATCAACCACTTCTTCACCAACCACTTATCCAGAGGTCATGTATCGCACCCTCGTGAAATTCGATGTGGATGAGGACCGTGACAAGTTGCTGGAGGATCTAATGCTTGGACCCGTAACCAAGGCCCTCGGAATCGACACCGGAGTCAAGTGGGGCGCCCAGAGCGGCTCCACCTTCACCAAGCTGATGGGCGATTTCATGAAGCCAGCTGTGCATATTGGTATGTGTCAACGCTGTGGATGCTACCTCAAATTATAGCCCTATGACATTTTAGTGGGTGAGCTGCTGAGCAACACCACCGTCAAGGTGGGCGTGTTCTCCGGAGGTCTGGACCTGATTTGCGCCACTCCGGGAGCCGTCAATTGGATCGAGGCCATGGAGTGGACCGACAAGCCCGCTTACCAGGCCGCTTCCCGCGTGGGAATCACCGTAGATCGAGTTCTGGAGGGTTACGAGAAGACGTATGGCAACTTCAGCATGTTCTGGGTCAACCGGGCTGGTCACATGGTCCCTGCCGATAATCCCGCGGCCATGTCGCACATCCTGCGCCACTTCACCAAATTCGGATAACCGAATAGTTGGGTGACAAGCCTAAAATAAAGATTATTTTCGAAATGTATAGGCTCTTGTAATTTGTTTGGATTGAATTGTCTACGATTGATTGGGTTTCAAATTGGTAGTGGAAATACATTCGATACATTTTAATCAACATATATTAGTTTCAATTTGCACAAACTTTATAATTACATTATTCGGTTGAGTTAGCTTGGGTGTTTTATATGTTTGCGAATTCAATTCATTCTGAAACTGAAAAACAAACAATTTTCCCTTTAATCTCACGCCACTTAAAAAGCGATCGCCTGCAGCGTTGCCACATGGCGAGAGTAACAGTAAAGTTGTCGCATGCGCAGTTGCACCCTCTCACACGCACAGACACACACACACTCGCACAGCCGACTTCCCTTCCGCTCTCTTTCTTGCGCCCACGTTGCGCATGCGAGAGCGAGAGAGGGAGCGAGCGAGCAGAAAAAGAAAAACTGCGCGAGATAACGCGGCAGCTATTTTTGTATGGGTCGTCGACTAGTTCGCACGGACATCGGAAAATACGCAAGGTGCAGCGCACGGCCAGTTGGAAAATCACTATCAGCGAACAAATTGGGTGCCCAGAAAGAGACAACAAAAGCGAGTAAAGCCAAAACAGACGGAAACGCCAAAGAAAAGCGAGAAAAGCAATGACGAAATGATTTGAATTCGCTTGACAGTCAACGCGCATAATCGTAGCCATCGCACACACACAGCCGCACGGACACAAACACACACACACACAGGCGGGCGGGAGTGTGAGTGAGAGAGCGAGAAAGGGTGAGCGGGCGCAGCAGCAACAACAACAAAAGAAAACAAGACGAAAACAAACGGCAATTTCCGTGTAAATTGCACGGGAAACACAAACAATGCGAATACGCGAGAAACGCAAGTTGCAGAGGGAGATGAGGGAGGAGAAGCGCGGGGAGAGGGAGAAGAAGGAGCACAAGGAGTCCTCCAAGACGCAGGACAACAACAACAAGGCGAAGGTAAGTGGCCACAGTCAAGCCTCGCAAAGTGTTTCCACCCTATTTTCACTGCACAAAGAACGCACTTGATCTAGGCGTTTTATTTCCTATAAGCTTGAAGGAGTAAGATAAAGTCATATTTTGTTATTCAGATCGTATTAAAGTATCTTGAAATGTCACGTGGATTCTGTGAAATTTGTCCTTTTGTAATTTTGTTCCTTTTTTAAATTTTTTATCGTATCATTATAACTTGATGCAGATTAGATAGTGATTCGAGCTCGTAATTGTGTAGAAATTCAACAATTTATGAAAGTCCCTCGAACTACATTGTTCACGCTCAGAGGGAGCACTGTACTTCACATTCATGGTGCTATTACTATGCACGATTTCAACTGTTACAATACCAAGTAATGACAGCACTCCGTTTCCCTCGTCGTTAGGCCACTGACACGGAGGTTCTCACACCAGCTCCTGCGCCTGCGCCTGCTCCACCAGCAGCACCCACTTCGACTGCATCGCCCACACCCACTAGCACGCACACCCCCAGCCTGCCGGCCAACGAGAAGGTGGCCTTCGACAATCGCATCAAGCGCAAGAATGTCCTGGCCCTCAACGAGAAGGTGGCTGCTCTGCGGGAATACGATCGCCTGCCGGTTTACAAGCACGTGGGCCGGCTGTTCAACTGCAGCCCGGACCAGATCAAGCGGATCGTGCAGCAGCGTCCGGAGATACTGAACGCGTGGGATCAGCGAACGCGCAGGAGCCAGGACGCCAAGACCATGGAGACGAAGACCGTCAGGGTCTCGATGCTGGGCAAGGCCGTGTACGATTGGATACGCCGCATGATGTACTACAAGGACTTCAGCATCTCCGACGGACTCATTCAGAAGATGGCGCTGCAGTTCAAGAGCTCCATGGGCCTGGTCCACTTCTTTCCGCACCAGGAGTGGTGCGACAAGTTCCGACGCACCTACAGCATCCAGCACAGCGACACCAAACTGCTGAAGATCGGCTACACGCAGGGCTACTCGGTGCAGATCAAGGACATCGTCAAGGACGTCATGTCGGAAAGCATGCCAGAGAGTGGACCGCGGCAGGGTGAGGAGGACGACGAAGAGGTCAGCTTGGGCAGCCCGCTGAGCAGCCACCATCGCAGCTGTGCTGAAGACGAGGACGACGAGGTGGATGTGGACGGTGGCGGCGTCAGCGGCGAGGATGATCTGGAGGAGGAGCCTGATGTCAAGCCCTCGTTGAGCGAACTGAATCTGTCCAGGGCTCTGAAGCCATTGCCGCCTCTGGTTAGACTGCCCCTGCAAGCCAACACCCCGCCAGGCACCTCCCAAAAAGTACTCCTGGCCACACCCATTGTACCGACGCAAGCGGGCGGACAGCCCATGACTATGACCATCATACCACTGGCCACCCTGGCTCAGAGCATCACCAAGATTCCTGCCATACAGCCGCAGGACAAAGGACCTGTGGTGCCGCCGCCCAAGCTAGAGATCAAGCAGGAAAAAGACATCAAGGTGGAGCCCAAGGACCCGGAGGAGTTTCCGGCGGATCAGCCGGAGGCGGAGCTGCAGGAGAACGAAGTGCGAGCGCTAAGGGATAAGGAGCTTGAAATTCCACCCACCGTGCAAATCAAAGTGGAGCCAGAGGCTGAGCTGGAATCGGAAATGGACCAGGACCCAGCGGATCTCGATGAAGACGCGAACAATGGTCGCTCCAGTGTCACCTCGCTGGCCGAGGTTCTGGCAGCCAATGTGGAGGACGAGATGGAGTACATCGAGCAGATGCGGCAACGCAAGATGAGTTCGCCTGCGGCAGTTGAAAAGACGCTGAATCCTCGCCAGGCCACCAAACGTCGCCATGAGTCCGCCCATGACGATAACAACAATGGCGGGGGATCCGGCCAAAAGAGTGGGTCAAGTGTCATCAGCTGTGCCGATGCACGCAAGTACCTAAAGCTCCTCGAGGAGTTCGCTCTGTACAAGGAGAACTACCGGCTGATTGGCCTGATCACACGAGCCGATGAAGTGATGCGGGAAATGGATGGCAATGTGCCCTAGAATCCGTAGAATGCTCCAAGCAGTGAGCGCCACATGGAGCAGGTGGAGGAGGAGGAATAGCTGCAGCCAAAGAGCATGACCTATGCAAACTGATGCATCTAGAAGATGCACATCGGTCGGATGCAATCAATCATTAGGTCTAAGTTGGACATTATTTGTATTTGCACCAAATAAACGCAATCAAACCCAGTTTTTAGTGCGTCTTTAATGATATTCATTTCGAGTTAAATTGTTAATTGCTATATTTCTCTATGTGCTCTATATTTCGTATTTCTTGCCCGGCAGCTATTGTCTTTACCTCTGCTGTGAATGTGCCCGTCTGTAACCCTATTATTCTGAACTACGTTGTGTATTATTACAGCTACATATTTCCACACATTCACGCCAGAACAAAAAGTCGGCTAAATATACGCGCTGATTGCCTTTTTGTGAAGTGCGCATGTCTGCCCTTAGTTGAGCTTCTTCTTCTTTTCTCGCCGGCGGGAGGTCACCCACTACCGCCCTTTCACACACACACACACACACACACGCAAGCCAGAAGTGGGAAAGAGAAAGAGCGCACGAAAATGAAAATAACGAAACGAGGAGGTCAATCATTGAATTCAATCTTACTGAAGATAGAATTTCCCTGCTTCAGGTTGTACCTTAAACTTTTCCCCGATCTGTGTGCAATTCCGAAGAGCGAGTAAATATAAATTCAGATTTAGCCGATTTCCTCATGCCGACAATCTTGATTGGGGCTAAAATGGTCAAATGCGCAGGTCTGCCCTTAGTTAAAGTCTGAATATTTGTTGTTCTCCGCTCTCCGCTCTGCGCTCGCTCTCTCGCACACACGTGCATCGAAATTGCGGGGGCGCTGTAGGTCTTTGTTTACAAATACGCCACTGCAGGTGCCATATATAAGTTCAAAAATTCGAAATTTATATAATAAATAAATAACGAGATAACGAGCAAAATTCGGATTCAGCTACGTTTTCGTTTGCCACAAGTATGTGGGAATTACGCGACTTATTGCGCATTTCCACACGCACACATGCACGCCCGTCAGGTCAGTCGACTAATCAATCAATCACTCAATCGAGACACACGCACACACACACACCCGCCCATTTCGGTTCTACATCAATTCAGTTTGTGATTGTCGCTTGAGGAGAGCATAACGCCGGTCGTCTCGCCAGGTGGTGGAAACAAGTTTATACATATATATGCACATCCAGATCCAGAGCAACTACAACAATCGGTGGGAGTATGTGAGGTGTTTGCCAACACTGGACGCTCCAAGTGGCAACTCTGGCCAACTGTAAACAACAACAGCTGATTGCAGCTTGAACAACAAAAAAGGTAAATATTTATGTTTATAATCCAATGAATATGATAATTACTCGAGTCCATGCAAATGCGGTGCTGGCAGATGGCAGCTGCACTACCAGATCGCTTCAGTGCGGGCAAACGGCAGTTCTGGCGCGAGTTTCTGGCCCTTTATCAGGGCATGCCAGAACTGTGGGACGTCCACCACGTCAATTACAGGAACAAGGAGCTGCGGAACCGGGCCTACGAGTTGCTGGAGCGAAAACTCCGGGAGATCCAGCCGAATGCCACGCGCACCGAAGTGGGGAGGCGCATCAACATATTCCGCACCAATTACAGGCGGGAGCAGATGCGAATCCTCAAGCAGAAGGAGCTGGGGCTGCACTCTGACCTCTGTAAACCGACTCTCTGGTTCTACGACTACATGGGTTTCCTCCTGACCCAGGAGACCTTCCAGCACAGGACCAGAAAAGGTCGTGGCGGCAGACAAAAGCCCGATTTTCGCAGGGAAAAGGATGTAAGATTGTGCTTTTCAATGATTGAATGGTTCATCAACAAATTACATATGTATATCGCTTAGGACAAGTACACCTCGAAAAATACAGATCTCAACACGGACAGCGTTTGTGATTGGCCGATGAAGGATGACAGCGCTTTTAACTACCCGTCCGAGCCCACGGCCCCACAATCCGAAGAGGGTTCCCTGCTCAGTCCAAAAGTGGAGATCATAGAGCCGGAAGAAGGGCACTGTGAAGTCAAAGAGGAAACGTGTTTGGGAAATTCATTGGACCCGAAGGAACCCACATCCTCGGTCCAAACGGATCCCGAGAATGAGCGAGGAACGGCACCCATGAAACTAAGCGAATCCTCCGAAGTGCTGGCCAGATCCTGGGCTATCCAGTACGAGGAAATGTCGCCCACGCAACGGATTCTGGCCAGAAAGGCCATCGCGGACATCCTGTTTGAGGGATGCATGGGCAACCTGCGAATAAACCGTGGCGATCAGCAGAGCACCGTGGGAAATCATTTCTGAATACTAGATTACTACTACGTCATCGGATGTTCCTGCATTTGTTACTCTACGAGTTTTCGTAGCTCAGAACTAAGCATACGGCTCTAAAGAAAGTTCGAACCCACTCAGGCCATAATAACGATGAAGGAGGCATTGCAAACTAGGGGTAATATAGGTACTAAAAATAAAATTAAGATTCAAAAGTGAATACAGTTTAAATATATCAGCCAAACAGAATTATAAAATATGCATTTGAATTTCCCGCCCGAACACAGCAGTGTTGAAAAACGGCTTGCAGCCGAACGAAGCCATAGAATTTAGAGATGAGTCTTCAGTTCTGCAAACACGAACACACCAGGCGGTAATTATTTAATTGACAGTTTTTGGTACTTTGGTCATAAAGTGCCCTTGCAGATTACTTTTAAGTTTTATTATAAAGGTGTTTGTTTGAGTTTCGAATACGTTCGGTTGCTGTTTACCTGTTGTATCGGCCGAGCTGTGCCACAAAATCACGCACACATCTCTCATTTACTATTGTTTTGCTATCGTATCTGACTGAAGAGGATGAAATAGAGGAAGTGCTTCGGCCTTACTTGAATTTCGTGGAAGTGCTGCGCAAGCGCTGGTCCTTTAGAACCATTTGCACACCTATTTCGTAGGATTAACCACCATTAGTAAGAAACTGAAACGATCTGTTCATATGAATTAGCATTTAACAGCTGATAGTTATAGGTACGCCAGGCTACATTCTACTTATTCGAGCCCATTGACTCCTCTGTGAGTCTTCTGAGAATCCCTTTACATGTGGGAGAGTCCGCATCCCGCACTGCATTGTACCGTGTGATCTTGGCGAAACTGCAAAAACTAAACGTCTGAGATGCAGCAATCGGCAATAGAGAATAAATTGCACATTTTCCGTCTTTCCTAATCTGAAAAAACGATCAATGATGCAGAGGTGCAATGAACTGGGCAAGAATTCCGCGTGAGTAGCAATCACTTTTGTATGTGCACCTTCTATACAAAACGAATCATCAACTCAATGCCATCGCAGGACCTGGCAGCTCTTAGTTCGCTTCGATCGCAACAACCTGAAGGTGAAGAAGGGCCCCAACGGTCACTATTTGGAGAGTAAGTGTCGGGATGAGTTGCGCAAGGCGCTACCTGCAAAGTCATTCGAGGAACTGATGACCTGGGTGGCTAAATGGCTAAAAAGGCTGGACGAGATGAACGGCATGGTGAGCTCTGGCTCGAAATCCCAGCAGGAAAACGACAAGGAGTCTGAGTTACTTGCTGAGGAACAAGTGAAAGAGGAAATAGCAGCCAACCCATCGGTTGTGGACCTTTGCAGCGATGAAGAAGATGCGGAATCAGTTGTTCGCTTTCCTGATAGAGAAACCCTGGACGCAGAATCAGTTATCTCCAGTTCCTCGCTTATAGTCCTTGACGATGAGCTGGGCGAGGTCAACCTGAAGGACTATGCTGATCACGTCGATGGTAAACTGGATGAAGCCTCATTAAGGAAGCGAAATCGCCGGGAGGAGGATAACACATCTTTTAACGCCAGTAAGCAGTCCTCGCTTAAGGAGTTTTTAACAGACAAAAAAACAAATCTAGAACAAGCTCCATCGCCTGTCTTCCGCTCTCTGAAAACGTATTTCAGACGACAAAAGCTACCTGCAAGTGGCGAAGCAGGCGGCCAGGTACTTCGCGAACTCAACGTCAAAGATGGAACCACATTCAAGCACTCCGCCAAGGAAGATAAGTCATCCGACCTCATAGTCATTGATGATCTAAGCCCAGAAGTCGCGGCGAGCACAGAAGAAACCCACGAATCTGTTATAAATGAAATAGCAGAGCCAAACACCCCAACAGATAAGGAACCCAAACAAAGTGATATCAAGAAAGAAGTGCCAAATTCTAAGAACATGATTGGGAAAGAGAATTCATCCTGTGATCCTTCAGCAAGTCAAGATAGAGAATCAAATTCCGATGCCTTGCAAAATGTTCCAATTAAATCTGACCCAGAAGTGCACTTGGAAAGGAATGGAGAAGCGAAAGAAAATAATGAACCCAACGCAAAAAGTGAAAGTGAAAAGCCTGATACCAGAGTGAACGAACCAAATCAAGTAGGAGCAAAAGTCCACCTGCTTCTGAAGGACTTGCTTTCGACCGACTCGGAGGCTCCTATTGATACGAATAATACTCCAGAAGTTTCCCCCCAATTCCCAATAAATGCGATACGAATTCGTAGTGACCTGGTTTCCTCCCCAGTGGATATGATTCGGGTTCGCACCGATCTGTTGCAGCAGCAAGTGGATCAGCCACCATCACGTGCACCTATTGACCCGTCTAAATCTTCCAAAGCACCGGGAGCAGCTGAAAAGCGAAGATTGTCGCCGGAACAGTCAGGAAATCAGTGCATATCAACTTGCAATAGCTTACACGGTCAGCCGAAAAGGTCAGCCGTGGATGGCTATAATCCCACATCAGTTGCCGCCTCCACATATTCACCGAGTATTCCGGAGGCCGCTGCACCAGCATATACCGCCAGCTATCAAGTAAATGGGCCACCAGCACCCGCTCCAACCACAACGTCCAGTTATCTGGCGACTGTTCCCTCGAACGCTTGTCCAGTTTCCTCGCGCAGTCCCCAACTAGTAATTCCACCATCACCGCTTGCAATATCCACTCAATCCTCTGTTGTGGCCACCCCACCAGTATTCAACGCGGGATATCCACGACCTCTCTCTGTGGTTGCGCCTACTATAATCAACTCCAGCTATCCAGTGGATCCGGGACGAGCCAATTCGTTTTGGTACCCTCCACCGAATCAACGTCCAGCTATTCCGGTGGTTACTCGGCCCAGTACCACGTGCACTTACCAGTCACTTGGGACACCTGCTCCGTGCACCAGCTCCAATTACCAAAGAACAAACCCTGTGCCTGCTGTACGGGCTAGTGTTTTAAGTTACAAACCAATATTGCCAAGAGCTCCAGGAACAGGGACTACACCCAGATATCCCACAACGAACTCCGTGGCTCCTGCGCCCGCTACAGCCACCTGCTATCAATCCAATAATGCATCCAATAAAGCGCCTACAGGATGCAATCGTCCCACCGACTTGACCAACATTATGGGCATGCTGGCTCAGGTGGAGTTTTTCGCCTACGGCCAACAGAATCATGAGGCTTTCCATCTCGTCAATCAGCTACGCCTAAGTCTTCAGAAGGGAGCGGCAAATAATTTCCAAGCTCCTCAGCGAAATGCTTGACCATTGCACCACATTACAAACGACCACTTCTTCTGGAAGGCGTACTCAAGAGGATTTGTTTTTTCGCTAGCTTTTAGGATTTGTTAAATACGCAATTATATATTGATAGAATATAAAAAAAATCATTGCATTACAATACTAAAAATTCTGGCAGCTGTAAAGTTGCTGACTGAATTGAATTGTATTTCATTTTTACTGTATTATGTTATGTTATTAATTAAATTCAAACTAATTTTTGTTAATGATTTGTTTTGGTTTTACTTTTAATTGTGATAGAAGTGACTTGTGAATAAGTCAAACATCTGTGCCCTTTACATTCAGCAGATGAGCTGATGAAACTTAATTCAAATTACGTACATAAAAACATAAATTTTTGAATGTAGTTCTCTGAGCTAAAAGTAACCGGTCTCATTCTACTAATTTGTTTTTTCGGTTTAACTTCCTGTTATGAATTAGCCACTATATCAGTGACCGCTGCTGTAGGACCGCAATTAAGCTAGTCAAGGACAGGGAAAAATTCAAATCACTGGGAGATGCCGATTGGGGCTGGTTCCGATGCTTCTGAGCTGTTGTAGCACTTTGCACCTGTCGTCCGCCCAACGCAAGTGAAAAATCAAGCACAGCTTTAATTGATACAACAACCGCAGTGGAACCCAGTTCTGGGTGAGATGGGGTGATGGTGTTCTGGGTTTCTGGCCCAGCAGTTGCAGTTGCAGTTGCACGTGTTGCCCGCAAACTAGTCGCGGCAAAAATGCTGTAAGAAATGCAAGGCAGCTGCCGCTAAAAAGCGGGGGGCTCATGGGCCACGATGCTTGGACCCCACAATCCGCAAAGAATCAGAATCAGGAGGGAAAAGCGCCCTTCGAGGGGCCGAGTCCTAAATGGGCATTGAAATTAAATGCAGCTGCTTTATTGATGCTGCAGCTTGGTTCGCCATCATTTTATATATAGAGATGACTACTTGGCCATTTCCAGATTTATCTAGGATTTAATATCTATGAACTATGCACATTGGCTTACTTATATGTTGAAATATTTAATAAAGTAAGGAACGAAATATTTTAGGCATTTGTTGATATAACTTGCATTGATTATTTTCCTAAAAAAGTTGTATTACAATTAGGTAAACTAAAGTGTAGTTGTAGTGTTACTGCACTTGAGTCATCTCTGAATGGATAGGATGCGATTGGCGGTGGAGCGAGGGGCAAGGGCCAGGCCAAATCCGTGAATATGCCACAGATGCTGCCCCAGTGGGCGTGCGGTGGGCGTGGCAGTGCAGAAACGGAGTGAAATACCCGCGGTGGTCGCCGTTTTCCTGCACTTGGTGGGCGCCAGCAATCTGCAACAGCAGCAATCTGCAGCAAAAACATCAACGGCAACAATCTGCAGCAGTAACAGCAACAGCAACAGCAACAGCAAAAGCAACACAAACAATCTGCAACACGGCGCCTTTGCCTTTTTGGGACATTTAATGGGAGTTGCCGTTGCCTTTTTTGGTGCAACGAAATCAAGCAACAAAAATCTTTTTATCGCTCGATGCTTCTCTGCTTTTCCTCGTCGGCTGATGATGATATCGTTTGTTTGTTTGTTGCCCGTTTGTTGGTTTATACGCCAACCAATGCAGTTGCATTAAAGTAAACGCTTTTTGAAGTGCCTATCTGGGCGAAAGGAGCCGCATTTGGGCCTTAACAGCGGCTCAAATGATCGCTATTTGGCCAAAACCAGAGCCCAGCCCTCTGGAAATGAGTCGATTATGAATTCGTCGGGATCAAGATAACCGGTGCATATATATCATGGCATATCATGGCATGGATAGCCATCAGTTGGAAATATGCCTACTTTTTCCAGATTAGTCGTGCCTATTTAAACTGTATTTCCAGACAGCCTTTTGTCGAACTCAAATGTGGGCAAACAGTTGAACAATAACCAATTGCAGTTCCCACACACTGCGGCACGCGTCGGACACGAAAACCACCCCGAATTCAGAGGCGCATCCAGCGGATTGCAGGTGCGGATTGAGTGCGCAATGGTGGTCACATAGGGGTGGGAACTCCATTCGGTCAGGGCACTGGACACTCGGTTGCTTCTCAGCGCGTCGCGAGAATCGGGAATCCGGAGAGTCACACGAGAACCGAAACAGTTGCTCATGTTGGGAATGGAAATCAAGTGGGAATGGAAGTGGGAGTGGGAATCCGAGGGAAATCGCTTCCAAAGTGAGGGTGAGATTCTGGTGTCGTGTGAACTTTGGCGAGGAATTATTTGCTAACTAACAAGAGGAGGCTTCTCTAGAGCATAGGAACCAAATTCAAATTAAGTTGGATCAGATATTCTCAGGAGGTGTGTGTCGGACTTAATGTGGGAAACAGACCCAGAATGCGACGGGGCATGGGTATGAGAAGAATTCCTCCGATTTTTGGGTTCCTCTTGAGCTGAACTGCCACAGCCAGCAATTACACGATCAAAAATTCTCCTCGCACTTTTTGCCGCATTTTCAATTCGGAAATATCTCAGGTGCTGTTCGCATGACCGAAGTGTGGGACTGAGAACTGATTCGGATGGGTATGGGCACATACTCGTATAGATTTGCTATCCTGCCTGCATCTTAATGAATTGCCGGCCATTTGGTGCCGCGCTGCTAAACGAGCATTACCTATTAAGCCCATGCCATAAGCTCCATAAAAGTTGACATGAGCAGCTGGAAATTCAAAAATCCACCGCCAGAATTTCGGTTTCGACCCCAATGAGCGTTAATGATGGGACAACCGAAAAAAGGATACGGCGCCTTTTGATTCTCGGCATATTTTCTGCTCAGCACGGCTGCGATTGTTCCTTTTTCTTGTGGTTTACTTTTTGGGCGAAACTTTTATGAGCGAATGAGTAAGCCGAAAAGTGGAGCTTTCGGCGACACCTTTTAAGCGCGCCAATCGAATCAGTGTTTTAACACGAGAATACCATTTCCAAAACGAGCTAATTAACGACTCCCGAAATAAAAAATATAAATAACAATATATAAAACGGAAAGACAACCCAAAATTCTACGAATACCCAGGGGCAGCTGCAAACGGAGAATTGGGCAAACGGAATTCATATTCGTTTGATTCCATTTCGCCATCCTGCGAAAGTGAAACCGCAGCAGGTGATCGTCATCATCAGTTTTTGCCAACAAGTTTTGGCAATTTGAAAATCTCTGCGCTAATTACTGACGACTGAACTTGGGAACCGGGGACATGCAGCTGCCTGGGAATCGGTGTCCGGATTGGGAACGAAACTGGGACCCAAACAGGGACCTTGTTGCCTAATTGAACCCATCAATTCGGAGTTAATGAAGTGGCAGCCGGTCCAGAAAATGTCGCTGTGCATTTTCAGCTCCAGCGACGCTGCAATTCATGAGGCATCTCTCTTTTTCGGTCGATAACGGGGCATAAAACACATTCGCCAGTTGGGAGGAGAGCTACCTGTACAGCAGCCACTGGCTACCGTGGCGGCCGTTTAATTAGCAGGTTAATTGGCCATGAGCCATCGCCATCGCCATCCCCATCTCCATACCCATGCACCAAGTGCATCTCCATTCGCCTCAGCCCCTCGATTTTGCAACTTAATTAATAACCGAGATAGCGAGATTTTCTTTGGCCAACTGCCGTTTGTCATAGATAAATTTACAGCGAAAGAAAACAGGGCGTTTAATTTCACGAACCACGCAAAACCACAACTTGTTGAACTTACATAGCACCTATTCGAACTAAGATTTTCTCTGCGTGCATGCGGAATCTGCATTCGCAGCTAGGAGGTTGTTTTTTGGGAGAAGAGCCTCTATCGATTGTGCAGTGACAAATGATATGTTGACAACAGCCAACAGGTAGTTGCAAAATTTTGACTTTTGCTTATCGTCGAGGTGCGAGACATTATACGTGAATAAATGTGCAGACGGAGGAGTTTGGTAAATGGAGGTTGGGAGCCCCATCTGCCACAGCTTCATTTGCGAAATCTCCCGTTTACGATGATCATTTACCGCCGTGCAATTACTCATTGTTATCAGCTCCCAAGCTGGGATCTTTATTTAAAGAAGCTTTTCTGGTAGTCATCCCAGCCCATCACGGATCATCGATCATCATTTACGCAGACTATCAGTTAAGTGGAAGGGAGCAATCTCTAAATGAGAACGAGAAATGAACAAGAATTATGTTTTTGATACATTTTTTACTACTCTAAGCCAGATTAAAGTATACATTAAAACAATTTTGCACCAAAATACTAATCAGCATTGAAACATTAAGAAAGAGATAAAATAACTTCTTCTGATCTTCTTTACCTGAAAAATGTTACTCCTTCTGTGAAGGGGTTTGTTCCCCTTTGGTTTCTTCTACAAATTCTGCATACTTACTTGTCATTTATGTTTAAATGATTCTATAAAGCCTTAATAAAGCCTACAACTTAAGGAGTAATCCCTCTTCGGCTTTCAGGAGAACTACTCTTACGTTCCCACGGAGACTTTTTACCCCAGGCACCACCCCTTTAAAAACCCCTCAAACCAAAACCCACCACCTTTCAACTGACAGCTTACCCCTTAACCCCTCCATGGAAACAACTTCCACACAGAGCTTCCCCTGAAATTCCCCTCAGTTTCCCCTGAGTTTCTCCTCACTGAGCATGCGCGACGGTTTCCCCAGCTGAGTTAGCTTCCCCAATCGACTGAGGTTCCCCTACTCGGCGATCCATTGGAGAATTGCCCCAATCTCAGAGATCTCTCCTCCTCTCTCAGCTTTGCGAGATCGGCTCTTTGGCAATGTTGGAGCAGCAAACGAATCGGGTTCGTAATCATGCGGAAATGATCGCACTGACCTTTCTGCAAATCAATGCTGGTTGCATTCTGCATCCATCTGCATTTTGCGGTTTCAGATTTTAAGGGCATCAGCAATCAGGGAAATTAAAAAAAAATATATCCTGCAAAATACTAATTAACTAGTTAGGATAGACGTGCATCTCTCCAGGATTTCCTACTCTTGCAACCACATTTCATGTCGATTATCTCGGCGGCAGGAGTAAAAATCATCGCCGACCTTTTGATCTGCTTTGTTGCACTCAGTCAATACAATTATTATTGATTTGCGCTGGCTTTCGCGGACTGGGCTTTAT